CTTGCTGTTTTCCCTACTTGCTCCACTCTCTGTTTCCAGAGCCTCTTCTGGGAAGTGGTATTGTGCTCGTATTGAAGATGCTGCAGATGGTGTGAGTGTTACTTATTGTTCAGGTTATTCTCTAACACACAGGCTTTTGTTCCTCTGGTCCCTGCTGCATGACTGCTTCCTTCAGCGTTGAGGTGGGAAGGCTGGGCACCCAAGGGCCCTGTGATGATAGGGGGAAGGCAGTCTCGGATGTGAAATGAAGAAGGCTTTATGCTGGGAACCCTTGGTCTCCATCCTGAGGTGCCTCTCAGCAGCTTTGCCTCTGGTTTGAAGCAGGAGAACTAAACCCCTTGAATCTTATGGGTGATCTTGAGAAATGCTGCAAGTGCATCTCTTGGATGCAGGGGGAGTCTTCTGGTGGATAAACAGGAAAGGAGGGATCCTGAGGGTCTGAATGAGAAGCTGGGCTTCGTTTGTGTGATGAGCACCTGGGGATCTAACACTGACAATACTTCTAAAAGCACCACGATTTCTTCTTTCCTTGCTTTCTGCTATTTTAATACTTCAAGGTGCATGTGGAAACTTGCCTTTTAAGCTTTGGGGTTTTTTCCCCCCCTGAGTATTTGGTTAGTGTGGTGAAATACCAGAATAGAGGTGTAAGCAAACTGCCGAACCACAGTGTTAAGGATCAGCTGGACTAGAATGTCCTGGCAATAATGGAGTTTAGGTGGTGTGTCTTGGGCTGGGGTTGGATGAGGCAGTCATGTGAAGGCCCTTTTAATACTGGCTTTAAGATGAAGGCTGGAAATGAGCTTTTGGTTAAATGAAACCAAGTGTTTCTCATCTGCATGTTTCCTGGAGCTGGGCTGTTTGGGAACATACTAACCACAATAACTTTGCTGGTGGATAGAATTGTACAGATTAGCAGTGCTTTTCTCAGACCTCATGTTATTTGCTCTGCCCTTTCCCCTCTACCTGCTTAAATCCAGGACTGGAACCCTCTGTGTGAGGTGTGTAACCAGAGAGCTATGTTACACTGGGTATGTGAGCAAGTGTGTGGTTAATGCTCATCACATTATGTAAGGGTGTGTTTTCCCACACTCAGCTTCTGCACAGGATATTACAAAAGGTCCTTACTGACACAGCAGGCTGAGAAAAGCTGGTGGATGTTGTCATAGGTCCAGTGAAACTCATTTTACCCCAGTAATGGTGTGCTTCTGGCCAAATAGATGCTTTGAGCGAGAGAGAAGAGGCAGAACTTGGAGCGTTCATAGGATCATATCAGGTGCCAAAGGATGTTTTGCAAGGCTTTCTGTCTCTTCCCTCCTGCAGTCCTCGCAGGGATGAAACCTAGTGGCCACTGGAAGGTGTGAACATATTAAATAGTGCTTTCTCCAGCTCCTGGGGTCAGTAGAGCAGCAGGAACACAGGGAGGTCCCAAGTCGGGGCAGGCTTATCTTAGCCTTTGTGTGGTCAGGTGAGAATCTGTCCAGGCCTAGAGCCACATTTGCTCCTGACATCACTCTGTGGATGCCTACAACAAGTTGTCATGTCCACAGGTCAGAATTGGAGACTCGATCTGCAGAGGTGATGTGTGGCTGTGTATTGGTTTGGCACTTGGTGTGAACACACATTCCCACGTGAGGCTTGGCTCAGAGGAGACCCCTCAGTGGGGACTCTTGTCACTGGAGGATTGTTAGATGCTGAGATTTCCTGTGTTGTGTTAGAACTTTAGAGGAGACATTGCTGCTGGGTTGTGAGGGGAGCCAGAAGAGCAATGGAACAGTGGAACATCCCTTTCTTGAGTGCTCTCTTGATTTGAATCTGCAGAAGATCATTCATTGTGTCTCTCTGAAGGCAGTGGAAGGGAAAAGTGGAAAATTATCTTTTCTTGGCCAGTTTGTCCGTGGCAGAACATTTCGTTCTGGTAGTTCTCCTGGTCCCACGTTTGCCCTGTGCTGTCTGTGTGGAGCTGTAGATGCATTTGCAGCTCATACAACAAAAGTCAAAGTTGCTGGACTAAATCCTTACTTTCTTTGTGATGATTCATGGTGCTGGCAGGCAGGTTTGGACACGCTACTCCAGGTATGAGAGGGGCTGTGTTAGAGCAACTGAACTCAGCTGAGGTTCTGTGGCTCATGCTCTTCACTTGGTCTGGTTTGAAGGCAATATTTCATCCTCCAGCATTAAGAGCCTGAAGTCGGTTCAGCCCCTGCTTCTGCCATATTTCTTCTCTAAAATGGGCTCTGCATGCTAATGTTAGCACAATAGTATTGATCTCTTGAGAAGGAAGCATCACTTTTGCATTTGCCTATCAGTCAGCTGTGTGGAGGTGGTGCTAATCCTTTGGATTTGCTTCTCAAACGTCGGTCTCTGCAGTCAGTGCTATCACACTGCTTCAGAGGAGGGGTTTTGGAGACAGCTTTATGGTTTCCTTTTCTGCACCAGTTCTGGGGAACTGCATTTTGCAGCTTGGTGGGGTCAGTCTGTTTGAGATGTCCAGGTCGGACACAGGGGCTTGGAGCAACCTGCTCTAGTGGAAGGTGTCCCTGCTCATGGCAGGGGTTGGAACTGGATGATTTTAAGGTTCCTTCCAACCCAAACCATTCTATGATCTCCTCCAGCCATGGGGAGGTCCAGCATCTTGTTTATCAAAAATATGGTTGCTCCAGGTTCTCAAATCAGTGTGAATTGGTACTGCATGCTTCTGCCCTTTAACCTGCTGAAAGGGGAACGTACCTGCCTGCTGTATGTGTTGGCAGCAGCTTTGGTGCTGTTGCTGGGTTTCAGTTGTACTCACTCATTCAAAACCCAAGTAGCTTTTGTGATGGGAACATTTAAGCTCTTAGTTAAGGACTGCTGGTTTAGACCTGGGTTGAGAGCACAGAATAGTCTTATGGTCTTTAGTTCAAGACTTAAAGGAAGTTATTTGGATTGTGGAACTTTGGGATCTGATGCTTGCTTGGAGGCCTGCTGGCTCCCACTGATGTCAGGGGCTCTCCTCTGCTGTACCTGCTGGGAACAGCCCAGTGCTGTCAGTAGGGTGAAGGGTACTAACCCAGTGTTTGCATGCTTTAAAGATCCTCCTTTGACCCCCAGCTCCTGGGAACTGGGGGGGCTACACCTCGGGTCTAGATCCACAATGATGGT